GTTTTTATTTTTACCAAAATAAAACTCAGAACCAAAGTGTCAATGAAACTGGACAAAGGTATCACAGTGTAATAACCCCTTCGTTATTTTAAAATGTTATTATCCCATTTTTCTTGCCTCTTCTATTAAACTTTTCTTTCTTCATCTTTTACAATTCCCTTCTATTTATACTTCTGTTAATTCCACACACATATACTAGGAATGTATGGTATTCCGAGAGGTTATGAAAAATGAGGGAGCTACTAAATGAATGGTCAGAAAGCAGATGTGAAATCTAAGCAGTTGAATACTGAAGAGAAGAGACAGACAAGTATATTAGTACTAGAAACATTATCTTTTATAAGGGCTATTTACATATTCAGATACAAGTCTGAGCTATTGCTATAATAAGCAGATATTGACTATCCCCAGAGAATAATTAAGCAATGTGTTTAGCAGTATATGGGATAATCTGACCATTCTGTGCTTTTCAAGGATGTGGAAAAGAGAAGGTAGTAAAATCCTATTAGATTACAGAAGTTCCCAAAACGTATTATTTGGCAAACTAAACCCAGTTCTATAATTATAGGTAATTTGATTAATTGCTAATGTATTTAACAAGTAATATAATTCAAGATGATAACTTAAATCTTAAAAATTATATTAAACAAGATTTTAAGTGAGGTTAAATTAGGTTCCATAGTCTACTCTTCCCTGATTTTTACCATCAACTTAATATTGTTTAATAGTCAATGGAATCATATTTTTACTAAAATGAAAGAAAATCAACTTTTTTAAAATTTAAAAACAAATCAATAAACTAGAAGTAATGAGGAGAAACCAAAAAAATAAAATTTAACAAGTCAGAAGAAAGACAGGAAACTCAATAGGATTCCTTGACACTTTTAACCTACAAGAATTTTACTGGTAGAGAACTTGCACTAATTTTAATGAATTCTGGAATGCGAACAAAAACACATCATTTAAAGATAGGAAATATATGGGATGATCACATCTATCCAATGCATCATTTCCAGTAAGAGACACAAGTCAGACAAGTTAAGTTAGATGACAGAAGCCTGTAAACATCAACAAAATAATGTACGAATTCCAATGAGTAAGGTCCATTAAAGCAGATGTTTTGTTTATGCCTGCCTACTACAACATCAGGAGTCCTGGTATGGCATTGTGGGTTAATGAACTGGACTGCAAAGTTGGTTTGAACTACAAGGTTGGATGTTCAAGCCCACCAGTAGATCCTCAAAAACCCTACACAGGGTTGCTAAGAGTTGGATTTGACTTCACAGCAATTAACAACAACTACAACATCTTACAACCAAGAGCTCTCGTAGAGTAGTGGTTAGTAATTGGGCTGCAAACATTAAGGTCAACAGTTCGAAACTACCAGTTGCTCTGCGGAAGAAAGATGAGGATTTCTGCTCCTGTAAAGATTTACAGCCTCAGAAACCCTGTACAGGGTCGCTTTGGGTCGGAACCGACTCCACGGCACTTAACACCACCACCACCAACATCTTAAGAGTTTTAAATGTTCTCAAAAGATATTTATTGGATGTAAGAAAGGCAGGCAAGCAGAAAAAAGGTTTCATAAAAGCTATATCTATGTATCTACTGCCAAAATTAAAATCAACATCAAGTTAATAAATTTTATAAAAGTGATGACACCAAAGCCTTTACCAATACCAGGTATAAGAAAGAAAGGCAAAAGAAAGCCTTCTGAAAGTAAAACCTCTTCTTTATTCAAATGAGAAGAGACAAATTTCTAATTAAAGATTCACTGACAAATTACTGAATTTCAAAGTGTAAGTAACAATTCTATTGGTACTACTTGAATTAAATATACTTCTCAATTAAAATTAATTAAATGTAATTAAGTACATTTTTAAGGGGAAGCAAACAGCAACTAATATAAAATGAAACCAAATACAGAAATCAATTACTTGAAGTCCAATACACATAATAATGGAACCCACTGTATTTGACTTTACCAAAACACTAAAACCTAAGGTTCAAGAGAATCAAGTGAAATGGTGATAATTCCACATTATTTCCTGTTAACATATAGCCACAGCCTCACAGAACAGTCTGAAAGAAATCCTTAAAAGATTTAAAACTACTTAAAGAAATCTATGCCTTAAAAATATTACTTAGATTTCAAAAGTAAAGAGAAATGATGATTATGATTCAATATATCAAAAAAAATTTATAAACAGAGAAATTTAATTTTTTGAAACAAGTATTTTATTATTAATGATTATTCTACTAATTACTGATTATTTAAGGTCTATTCATTTAGAGTGTTTATACAACAAATTTGTTTTAAATATAATGTTCATATGAAAAATATCAATAATTGAAATAAATCCCATCAAAAGAATGCATTTACAGAGAAAGTATCTTATCAATTAAACACATAAGAGGAACATTTCTATCAGACAACGATTACTTTTGTCTGACCTAAGTAATTGATTCACTAATGATACCCATCAAGTCCGATAAACCTTATGTTATAGTCTCAGTCTGTAAAGGGTCTTCATGTTATTTACACTAATAAAACATTAATCAAGGGCCAAATTTATAGCAGCTACTCTACAAATGAGGTCAAGGCAGGTCAGACTTACATAATAAGAAAAAAAAAAAAAAGAAAAGGCTTGTTTCTGCAGTGAAAAGAAAAACACAGTTCCTACTCTTCCTGCCCCTGGGATAACATCCAACAAATAAACACTCCAAATTCCTTTATAAATACTACTTCACGAATCTATTCTTACATAAACTCATTTAACCTTTTAATACGCCTTTAATCCACTGATTTAGAAAAATAAACCTGTTTTTAACTGTTCATTAAAAAAAATTTTTAACTGTTAAAAATATAATCTATTCCTCAGCAAAAAACAAAAATTTCAAATAGCTCTACAATTTTACTAATAAATCTCAGTGTTGTTCCTACCACTACATTTATTTATAACGTTAATTCAAAATATAAACATTGAGTAATTCTTATAGGTTAAACCATGAGATTAAAAAAAGCAAAAAACAAACAATTGTTTACCATGGGAGACTCACAAATTCAAACAGAGTATAAGCTAACCATAAGAAATCGTAGAAAAGATATTAGAAAATCTATTATTTGATATAATATAAAAATAAGTATCTCAAATAATTGTTTACCCAAAGATTATCAAGAAAGCTTTTTAAAAGTTCATGGAAAAATGTAATTAAAAGACACTGGAATTTTTCTATGAAAATTTTCTGAAGTACTTTTAGGTAGTAACAATCTACAGTTCTGGATGAGGAGACCTGAAAATAATTTTCATAGGTCATTTCTTTGGCAGATGAGGCACAAAAACAAGCAGCCAGTAATAGGTGAAAAAGATGACATGTGGAGATTTCCAAGGAACTCTGAGAAGAACACCAAAAACAGAGGAGGCCTTAACCCTGCCCTGAGAGCAGACAGAACCCTCCCCTAGGTCTGCTGCAGTGACTTCGCTTCTTCAACTGTAGTCTGTCAGTCTGTCATAACTGTGGTGGCTTGTGTTTGCTGTAACACTAGAAGTTAGGCACCGGTATTTTTTAAATACCAGCAGGGTCACCCATGGTGGATAGGTGTCAATGGCGCTTCCAGACTAAAACAGACTAGGAAAAATGAAAGGCAGACCACTTTCGAAAGGTTAGTCATTAAAAATCTTATGACTAGCAACAGAGTATTATCTGATTCAGCTCCAGAAGATGTCCCAAAAAGAAATGGTCAATGTTGGCCAGCAGTTCGAGAGGTAGCATATGAACAAGAACCAATGGTACTAAAGGAAGAAGTCCAATCTGCACTAAAGGCATTAGCAGGGGAAAAAAAGAGTCCAGGAACTGACAGAATAACAACTGAAATCTTTCAATAAACTGGAGGAAGGCGGGAAGCACTGACTAGTCTATTCCAAGAACAGGAATAGATCCACGTTAGTGCTCATTCTGAGAAATGTGGAAAACATTGAGCAATATTATTAATATCCCTTGCAAGCAAAATTTTGCTGATGATAATACAAAATTAATTGTAGCAGCACATCAACAAGGAGCTGCCAGAAATATGTTTGATTCAGAAGATAACATGGAACAAGGTTGAAAGTATGCAATACTAGAAAGATGTTGATTTGCGCTTTAATGACAATGCTTGGTAAACTGGAGAGTCAGAGAAAAAGAGGAAGACCTTCAACAAGATGGATTAACATAGTGGAAGCAAAAATGTGCGCAGATCTAACAATTGGAAGGATGACACAGGACCAGGCAGTGTTTCGTTCTGCTGTGCATAAGGTCACTATGAGTTGGACACAGTCAACAGCACCTAACAACAGCAACAATAAACTGTAAGAGTGGCTACAACAATGGGCTAAAACATATTAACTACTATGAGATTGGTGCAGGACCAAAAAGTACTTCCATCTATTGTATATGGGGTCACTAAGAGTCAGAATCAACTCAATAGCATCTAAAAAATAAGCTGTAAGAAAAAATAGTTCTGTCCATTGAAGACAACCACTTGTGGTATTTCTGTTATAACAGGACTGCAAAATTAAGACACTCCCTCTTGCACATTTCTCATTGAAGCACAAAACACATTTAATCCACTTCCACCTTTTAGACAACCTATAACATGAGGTAAATAATAATAACAGAGATAATAATGATTATCTATAGATAATACAATATAGAACCTATAGAAAGTCCCAGTAAGTCCCAATTAAATTTTATCTTCTAAAACAAGAATTTCACTTTACTTTTGCCAAACTCAGCCACAACTTTCTACTAAACAATAAAAACCAAGCTTTTAAAATGAAGATGTAACTAAGAAGGAAAATATCAAATGATTGAATACTGACATATTTATAATAATATCTAGGAGTCTTACTTTATTGATTGCAGAAACTATATAATACCCAAAAACATCAGCTACAATAGCAAAACACAGTAAGATTTTTAAAAATAAAATATAAATGGATATAAAATAGATTACTTACCTTCCTTCATTGACAAGTTCAATAAAGGCAAGGCCTGCATTCTTCTGAATCGAATTCTGCCACTCCTAAAAAAAATTTAAAAAAAAAAAAGGTAAAAAAAATGATGAAAAATTTTCATCAGTAGTTTCTTTTAAGATAAAAATGAAAGGAAAAAAATCACCCATATCAATTTTATGCTTTGATTCTATAGGAAAAGTTTTCTCAAATATGTTTTTCTATCCAATACAGCTTCATAAACACATGAATAGTTGATACTGAAAAGTATACTAAGTTTTACAGTAGTTTGATTCAATATACACTAAATAAACTTATCTATATATTTATTGGCTCTTATGGTTCTATACTGTTGTTGTTGTTGTTAAGTACTGTTAAGTCAGTTCTGTTTAGCAACCCTGTTTAAGGTTTCCAAGGAGCAGCTGGTGAGCTTGAACCGCCAAACTTGCAGTTCAAAAGGCTTTGCAGTCTGGCACATTAACCCACAGCAATTCCTGTTCTATGATACAATCGTTTAAAAAGTAGCTTACAACTAAAACAGTTCAAAGACGGTAAACACAACAGTATTTAACTTGTTGTTGTTAAGTACCATCAAGTCAGTTCCAACTCATAGCAACCCTGTATACAGATTCCAAGGAGCAGCAGCTGGTGGGTGTAAATGGTCAACCTTGTGGTTAATACTCTAATGTTTGTTCTACAGGGTCAAACTAGGATTCCAAATGTATAAAGTAGCTGTGATTGAGAAATTTTCAGGTTTACCCTTTTCAAATAAATATGTCATCTAAACAGATTTATGAAATGGTTATCCATATGACAACATCATTGAAAATTTAATACACTTATCCCTGCATTTGTATACTGAAATCCTCCAATCATAAAAATATAAAATAAAAAGTTTCCCTATATTTCATAAACATCACTAGAGAAAGGAAACACATAAGGTATAAATTACGACTAAGCAAAACAATAAACTAGTAATTAATTTAAAACATCTGTAACAGCCAAAAAATTCTATTCCAACAGAAGAGGAAAATGTAGCTACACGCTATTTCAAAGTTATCGGGATAGCAGCCTTAACACTTTCTTCAACCTTAACTCAATTTCTTCTTGCCATGTAACACAACATATTTAGAGAATATAGTCATTTTGGGGACCAAATATTCTGCTGACCACAACAGGAAAAGGCCATAGAAGCATAACCAGAAATCCTGTCCAACACAGAGTGGAGCTAAGTGCAATAGAGCTTGAGAACACAATACACTTAGACAATACCCACAGAACAGCAACAAAAGGGAAAGGAGGGCTAATCCATGTATTTATTAGCTTTCTTCACAGTTCTAAATTAAGTCATATTTTACTAATTTCCAACAAAAATAAAACCTAAAAACTGGCTGCCTTTATGCTTCACTATCATGTAATAAATACAAAGTATACTATAAAGAACCACTGTTAACATTTTATATAGAAAAATGTTGTTGTTGAGTGTCGTTGAGAAGGTTCCGACTCACAGCGACCCTGCATAGGGTTTTCCAAGGAGCGGCTGGTGAGTTTGAAACACTGACCTTGTGATTCAAACTGACCTTGAAGGCGAGTGTTGATCCTACATTATATTAAATGTTAACTGGACAGAAGAATGCAGGGTGAAGAATTTAATATCAGGGAGATTATGTTTGTTGCCTGAATCATCCAGATATGGTGGGGCAAGGGCCAGAAAACAGGAAGACCAACAGAAATAAAAAACAAGGGTGACAGCTAAGAACATTTTCAAAGAAAAAATTAACCAAATGTGCACACCTTTAAGAATCATTAATTTTGATGCCTTTCAGACAATCTTCTGAGAAAAACAGTCCAAAAGCCATTATTATTAGTCATCAATGTTACAGATGAGTGAACTGAAGTTCAGAAGTCAACATGCCCAAGGTGAAAAAAATACCCTATTCAATGTTAAAGGGGTTATTCAAATGCATTTTTATAACTAGAAACCTTACACTCTATACAGTATTACGTTGGCTATCAAACCTGACATAGAGATGAATGAATCATAGGAACATCAATCTGACACACATTTACTCGGGGACTAGGATATATCAAGGATTTTTGCAAAGTGTTGGAATTTACAGAAGCTGAGTAAGACATGAAAAGTGACTCAAATACACCACCAATTAGATAGAGATTATTACTCTATCTTGATTTCAATAACAGCAGCATATTCTGAAGGGGGGCTTCAAAAAGTTCGTGGAAATATTCCATTTTCTTTTGATTCCATTTTTTCTCCAATATTTTAAAACTCCATTGTACTAACAATAAAAGTAACAGAAAAGGAAGGGATTGTTTAAATCTATCGTAGGAGAGAAAGAATTCAAAAAGAGACAGCATTTTAATTGTACTTTAAAGGTTGAACAGATAATCAATGATAAAAAGTAACTACATGCAAAGACAAATGTAAAAGTGATTTTTTTTTAATAGTAAAAGTTCAAGAATTGTAGAAGTATAATATGCTCTGGTAGGCTGAAGAGTGCTAAAAAATTGAGCTACAGAGTAGGAAAGAAATCTTATTATGATAAGAAATCACTATGAGGATCCATATTATACAGTGGAGTCCTGGTGTGGCACAAGGTCGGTTCAAACCACAAGGACAAGCAGTTCAAACTCACCATATTAGTTGGAACCAACATGACAGCACCTAACAAAAACATTATACAGTGAGGGGCATGGCCTGATGAGTTACACTGTGTTAATGAGATAAATGGACATTTAAGTAGAAATACTCTATGACATATCTCAGTCAAACTTGAACAATATGAAATTAGTAATTAGTAGCATTAAAAGAATATTTATAGAAGTCTTGAAAATAGATTCAATTGAGCTTGTGGGAAAAAAAGTTAGAGAACATCACAAAGGAATATAAACCAGGAAGCTGAAAATTATGACCTGAAGCATAGCTGTATTAATGAAGATGGGGTATAAGTAGCAAAGAAATTCGAAAATAGATAAAAGTTTTTTGTTTGTTTTGAAAGCAGATATATGTATCACCAAAGAACAAAAGGGAAGAATAACTCATTAAATAGTGAATAAACAATCTAAGTGTCTATCAATAGATGACTGGATAAACTATGGAACATACATATAGTGGACCATTACAAAATTAAAGAATAATGATGGATTTGCAAAACACCACATACATAACATGGATTAACCTGGAGGATAGTATACTGAGTCAATTATAAAAGGGCAAATAGTATGAGATCACTATTACAAAAGCACAAGAAAAGGCTTTCAAATAGAAAGAAACATTCATTGATGGTGATTACAGTTGGAGGAGGAAGGGAGGAAAAATCACTAACTAGAGAGTAGATACCTAACTTGGGTGAAGGCAAAGGCACAAAATGACCAAGGCACAGGAAAAACACTAACAAGGGTTAAGGAAATAAAAGAAAATGCAATTAAATACACAAATCTGCAATGGAAATAATAACAATAATGTATGAGTGAATAAATAGGCATGTAAGCTAATCAGGAATGGAAAGGTAAACAGGAATTGTTGTTATTAATTGTCATAGAGTAAGTTCTGAGTCACAGCAACCCTGGATAGGGTTTCTAAGGAGCAACTGTTAAGTTTAAACTACCAACCTAGCAACTAGAAGTCCAGTAGTTACACATCACCGCACCAGCACTTCACAAATATATATATATAGGTTTGATGTATGATATTTCTATATACTATACATGTGCTATAGAAAGGAGCTCTGGTAGCATAGTGGTTACGAATCGGGCTGCGACCACAAAGTAAGCAGTTCAGGACTACCAGCTGTTCCATGGGAGAAAGGTGAGACTTTCTGCTCTCCGTAAAGATTTACAGCCTCGGAAACCCTGTACAGGGTCGCTATGGGTCGGAACCAACTCCACAGCACACAGCACCACCACGCCACATATATGTGCTGCAAATGTACTCGTGAAAAGAGGACAGCATACCAAACCAACAGCCACAGAGTCAACTCTTACTCACAGAAACCCTTTATGTCAAGAGACATAAAGAGCATAATGGATAAGAAAACAGAATTCTTCAATATGTCCACAAGAGACATATCAAAAGGATGGAGCCAGTCTAAATGTCCATCAGTGGAAGAATGGTTAAACAAAGTTTGATACACACATATAGTAGAATACACTTGTTGAAGAATAATGATGAATCTGTGAAACACCTCACAACATGGTTGAACCTGAAGGACATCATGCTTAGTGAAGTCAATAGCAAAAGTACAAAACAACGTATGAGACCTACGTTGTAAAATGTTAAAAAAAGGTAAATTTCTGGATAAAAGAAACATTCTATGATGGTATGGAAGGGAAAATTATTCATGGGTTAGAGGACAGACACATGTTAACATGGGTGACTGGGAAGGCAGTATACAACAAAAGGGAGGTTTGGCAGAAGAAAGGTGAAGATATTGGGAGACATAAGGAAGAATGCAATCATTAAAGTATATAGAGGTAAATGCTGTTAATTGTTGGTAATGTAGTAGAGTGCAACCAAGTAATGAAGCAGAATGTGTGGTTTCATGAATGTAAAACTGATGCTCTGTACTGCAAACCTTCATTTAATTCACAAGAGAAAGTTAAAAAGAAAAGAAAAAGGAACCACACGGGCTGGCAAAACTGTAAATCCATTTACAATGAAAGGAAACAAGAACCATATTTCATACCAGATATAAGAATGAAGTCCTGTGAATTAAAGACCTAAACGTAAAGTCTGGAACTATAAAAATCATCAATGAAAACATAGGGACAATCTTAGAGGCTAAGATACATGGCCGAATGAGGACACAAGACCTTGAATGAAAAGCTCAAAGGAGAAATTAAAGTTCAGTAAAGAAAAGTAAGAAAAGATCCTTTTCTTGCAAAAAAGAAAAAGGCTGAAGGAAGTCAAAAGGGACACTACAGAATTTACTGTGTACAATCATTTAGATTAGACAATGTATTTTAAAAAGTATTTGTTGTTGTTAAGTGCCAATTAGCAGGTTCCGACTCAGGAATCCTCTGTATAACAGAAAAAAACACAACCCAGTGCTGG